CCCAGCCCCAACTTGATGTTTTTTGATTTTTGTTTTTTAACTGTAAGCTGTTTGGAAATGGCTAACAGGGATTTATGTGTGTGTGTGGGGGGGAGTGAAGTCGTGTTTTAGGTTAGAATACAAAAGATGCAAACTAATGTTTTTATTTTTTTCTTGCTCTTGGTTTCTAGCTGGTTTCTCTGTTACTAAATGCAGGGAAGGCTAAGCCTAAGGTCATAGTGAAGAGGTGTTAACCCACCATGTTTCACACTACCTTCTGTGGAGAGCAGAAATGACTTTAGGGTTTGCATACTTACTATTCATGTGTGCTTTGTGGCTGTATCACTGGCCAGCACCAGTCCCCGGCAGGGCAAGGACAGCTCAGAGGGGCCTGAGACCAACTTCATCTTTCCTCAGAGAGAGGCACTAGGCTTCCTGCTGAACCGTGACTTGCTTCCTAAGGAGAGCCAGAGAAAACTCCACAGCCCTTCTCAGCCTGCGGTGGTCACAAAAGGCTGCTAGAGCATCTCACTTTCCCAATCAGAAAATAACTTTAGCATGACGATATGATGCAACACTCTGATGACAACCTTCAGAGCCCAGAACTTTCAAATCCAAAGGCCTCTTGGGGCTGTCTGTGCCAAGCTTGCAGCGATGATTCAGCTCTTAACACTGTCTCTGCTCTCTTTGCTGCACTATTGCTTTATCTATTTCTATCTCAGTCTCAAAAAAATGTTTACATCCTTTTACTAAGATACATGAGACAGTTTAACTTGCTAATATAAACCCTGTTAGGTAATCACTTTCCTTACAGGGGCTGAAGTTCAAGTAGAGATTGCAGTTCATGCAGCCAATTCATGTAGCCAGTTCCTAAAGGGTGCCCTGTAAAGAACTTCATGAGATCTTACTGCAGGAGTCAGATCTGAGTATTTCAGGGCTCACCTTTCAGATGTACAAACAGGACTCCCCAGAACTGTGGCTGTTTTTGATATTCAGGTGAAGAAATCATTCTCATTGTAACCTCTCATCTTGGAGGCTGAAGGCAATACTTTTTCCAGCACAGCTTAGCTTGCTTTTGATGCTAAGATCAGTACTTGGGGTCTCTATAAGTTAAGATCTTAGTGACAATATATGTGAAATTATAAATCCTGTGCATATGAGAACTCTTGAGACCAGCCCTTCAAAGCAGGCACACTTGGAGTCACAAAGCATGAATCCTTCATGCACATACTAGTGTCAAAATGATGTAAATATTTACATTAAAAAAAAGGTGCCTGTAGGGTTGGTTCCTCCTCAACCTGGGAGTGAGAATCTGCTCCAGGCCTCTCTCAGCTTCCAGCAGTGGCTGGTAATCTCTTGAGTTCTTTGACATCTAGATGTATCATCAGACCCACCTTCTTCTTGACTTGGTTTTCTCTATATGTAGGTCTGCATTCAAATTTCCTTTTTTTTGTGGAACTGGGGATTGAACTCAGACCTTGCGTTTGCCAGAGAAGCACTTATTCCACTGAACCATCTTCCCTGCCCCCAAAATTTCCTTTTTTATAAGAACAGAAGATACTGAATTAGGTGTCCTACTCCAGGATGGCCTCATCATAGTTAAATACACCTTCAATTGACTCAATTCTAAAGCAGGTCTCATTCTGACATGCTGGGGTTAGGACTTCAACATGTACTGGGTAAGTGGAACACAGTGAAACCCATAATGATAACTAAACCTAAAATTGCACTAGGTATTCAGAGAGAATGTATCACGAGGCCTATTTTTATTTAATTAATTAATTAATTAATTTTTTTATTTATGTATTTGGTGCAGGGTATCACTACACAGCTCAGACTTGTAGCAATCCTCCTGTTTTCATCCTCCCCAGAGCTAGGATTACAGGCCTGTGTCACCACGCCTGGACTCGGTCATGCCCCTGGGGGATGGGGTGAGCATGGCATGCAGGACCGGGAATCACTTGCCAAAGCAGATGCTTAGTCCACTGAGCTATCTTGCTGACTATGGGCCTATTTTTAAATTCAATTAAAATTTCAAAAAAATAAAAATAAAATACAATTTCAATGTACAAAGACTCTGTGCTAGAAATTGGCCTTACCACTAATAGGGGAAAGAGAAATAGGTCCTGACCAACAGTTCCCTTCTGAAGAAGAGGCATGGTGTCCTTCCTCATTGCTATGTGCATTTGCAGTGATTTCTAGGGAGTAATGCCCAAAGGACCCTTTTCTCATGTTCCTTGATATGCAGCAGAGGACAACTCATTATCTATTTCCTCACATGCACAGGAAGTGTCACTGCGCTCTCCTCCCTGTTCCTACTGCATATGACAAAGCGTCTTACCATTTAGAAATGCCCTATATACATACTATCAAAGTGTTTCTTGCCTTGCCCCACACAAAGAATGCATCCATCATGCATCTTAGTTTCTGTGCCTATTCAAACAGTACACACTTCAAGTTCCCTCCAGGGTTGTGGTACGCAGCTTAAGAAGGTTCCTATACACTGGTTGACACATCATGATAACTTTTCTGTATCTCTGCATCTGACCTGTTCTCTCTTTGTTGCTTCTTCCCACTCTCAGGGTCTGGGTCCCTACAGAGCTTTCTTTACAGCATACTCATGCCAAAAAGCTATCAAGAAGTGGAGTCTGGTGTGCTTGGCTCATTTCTGACAGATAAAGAAATGGTAATTCAGAAAAGTTCAGTTACCTGCATATGCATACTTCAATTATATTGAGTCCATTTATGAAAGGAGGATGTTATAGATGCAATTGTTTCCCCAACATGATAGGGTGATCTCCTAACTTTGAGTTCCTGAGAATGTGATCTGATTTGGAAAGAGAATTGCTGCAATGGTAACTATTTTTAAAATGAAATCACACTAAGCTTTCAAGACAGTCTGATATCAGACAACTGACCTCCTGAACTGTGAAAGGACAGTTTACGTCATTTTAAGCAACACAAAGAAATAAATACAGAAAACAAAGGAGTATGTGTTCTGAGATAGCTGATCAGGGAGGACGGAGCTGCCCTCTGTTCCTACATGATTACTGGGTCACTTTATACCTGTGTGCTTTGATTTAGCACCACACTCAGGTATTTAGAAAAATTAAAGGTGTAAATTAAACAAAAACTATCACATGAAGACAAGTGCTTTTAAGGAGCAAACTGGCCTGGTCCCTGCCCTAGGTGCCATCAATGGGGAACCAGCCCACTCTGTCATTTCCCTACGCAGGTGCTGCTTATAGGGGCCTAGTCCTTCTAGTCACGTTCACCAAGGGGCAAACAGGGATGAAAGACAAAACGCAAACCAAGTTAGTTTATGCAACACCCAGGGGGCTCCTCCCTTTACTGGGCAGAGAAGCCCCAAGCATCTGGCTCTTCCTGCTTTGATTCACTCAAAAAATGGGTACAAGCAATGTAACACAAGATTCATCTGCCTTCCACCTTGTGCTCATGAGTAAATGCCCAGGTAAACAGCCTGATCTCAGCTGTATTAACTTTTCCTTTGTGCTCACAGAGGTGGTCTGTTAGGCCTCAATTCTCCTTGAACTGGTTTCCCACAAAGGAGCATTTTATTTGAAAGGTGATAAAATGGACTAAAGACATTTTTCTCCACAATAAGAATGATGCAAATTCTGATACATTCTGGTAATATGAACTAGCACAGACAGAGTGGTTTATCACAAAAAAATGCTGGCTAAGGCCGTGAAAATGCTTTGCTGCTTCCCTCCCCGAGTTTGGAAAAGAGGTATTCGGTTTCCTGCATAAATGACATCAGCTCTTTGGTGCCCAACTTGTTACCTCTCTGGGGAGAGCCTTCTTCTAGCTGGCCCTGCTTCAGACTCCAGAAGCTCCTTCCTTAGATTAAAGGACAGGCTGACTTGTCCCTTTCCATCTGCCCCTTCCATTTTGTCACCTGATACCTTGTGCCTTGGCAGTGTCTTCTTTCTCATACTTAGCACTGTATGAACCCCAGGTGCATGTGGTTGGGCCGCTGATTCTTTTCTCCTCAGCTAAGCCTTCCTCAGATATTCAGAGTTAAATGACAGCCCACCACAGCAGGACGTGGAAAGTTCTATACATTTCTCCAAGTAACTAGAACTTTAAGAAGAGGGAAACTGTTACAGATTGAAAAACTTTAAGAAATCCATCCTTCAAATATAATGTATAGGGGCTGGCGAGATAGCTCAGTGGTCTAAAGTGCCTGCTTAAGCAAGCTTAGGCAGGAGCAGGGAACTGTGATCAATGCCTAGCACCACATGCCAC